ATACAACAATCAGTGTCTAGAGCCACCAAAACAACAGTGGAGGCTCTTTCTTGGTTCTGGGCTGCATTTCAGCCTGTGTTGTTGGAGATCTTGTGAAAATCGATGGGTTGTTGATGGAATTATGAACAAAAACAAAATAACCATCAGATTTTGATTCACCATGCAATACTATCTGGGAAGTGTGATTGAAAACAGATTCATTTTTGGCATGACAATGGTCCCAAACACACCGTCAATGCAGTAAAAGCATACCTAGATATAAAACACACACACAATGGGACACTATCAGTCAGAACAAAAGGCAGCCAGCATCCAGAGAACTTTGAAAGTAGCAAAATATGGAAAAATGAGGGTCGGCTCGAGACTTTTGTACAGCGCTGCACAATAAACGACAAACAAAAAACCATCACAAGTAAAAACAAAACAAAACAGTAGATCCACAAATTGAATTATCCAAGCAGCTGTACTAGATGCTGAGACCTGGACCATCCATAAAGCATGTGAAGAATTAAAATAAATCAGCACTGGTTTAAGCTGAAAGAGTAGCTGAATAACTGAAGATTTCTAAGGGCAAAACAGTGTGATGCATTTATTTACCTTGGCACCGTGTCTCCTTTGATTCAGCTACTGCCGAAAAACATAAAAGGGAATAGGTTCAATGTGTGAAACGAGAGAAAGAAACAAGATTAAAGGGGAGATAGAGAGAGGCATAAAAAAAAAGGGCAGATCTTCATGGAGATGGAATTTACTTTGTCAACATCAGCCTGACTTATGGCAGATAGGGAAGCTGCAATGATGAAGCTTCAAGGCTTCCAGATGTCTAACGATTGCACCTTTTCATTTAGTATTCCAAATATTTTCTTTCATGTTGTGGTATAACCTTTTTTTTGGTTTTAAGCAGTGCTTGCCTCCATAGGAACAGCCTTCCAAGGCTCAGTGGTACTTTGCCCTGCTGCACTAATAAACATCAATCACAATTCCTCCTCTAGACACTGCAGCCAGACAGGAGTACACATGTAACAGGAGCTTCTCTGGCTGGACAACTCCCAAAACACTCTTTTGGGAATCTTTGGCGCTGCAAATGGCTTCTGGGCTTTGTACCACTGCTAACATTTTGTTTTAAAAAGAGGAGTGATTGTGCTTTTGCTGGTGCCAACTTAAACAATCCTCTGCTGAGTATTTACCAGTGCTGTCATCCCCATCTCCAATTCTCCACACGTTTACCGGTCTGTCCATAGAGCCCGTTGCAATCCAGGGAAAGGTGGGAGATAGCGCAACGGCGGTTACATACCTGCAGGAAGGAGCAAGAGGAACGGGAATGTGAAACGTGTGTGTGTGTAATTGACTGAAACTGGCACAGGAAGAGAGCGGCCTTAAAAATCTGGTTCCCTCGACACTTATGAAATGAAAAAAAAAAACTAGCCTTAGATCGTGCAGCATCTTAAACTCTTTCAAGGACATCAAAGCGGTGTGCTGCTTCTTACCTGTGGTGCCACATCAATGACGGTGCAAAAGCAGTGCCGGGGAATATACTTTTGCACCACTGCACCCGGTGCTTCTGGGAAAAACTAATCAAGCAAAAATCACACTTTTTGATCTGAAACACCAGGACTCCTATTCTGCTGTTTGTCTAATAGCTGCAGAGATTGCATTGCGGTGGGAGGTCAGGCCGGGTCATTTACCTGTCATGTTGTTTCAAAGTTTGGAGCACGGTTCCCAGGCTCTGTACACAAAGTCCAAACACACGAAACGGGAATGTTTGACATCTGTGTTTATGGACGCTGTGATTTATTGTTTAGAAGTCCTCGACCACAGTTAACTATAGCAGCAAACAACAACAAACCTCCCCCCCCCAACCCCATATTATGGGTGGCGTGTTTGCGCTTTACTTACCGCATCATATACTGCGACACTTTTATCCACGGAGCTGTTGAATATTTAGAGTAAACAAAGTCAACTTCATTTGCGGCGTGCATATGCGTGCATTCACATTATAGAATAATGAGCAGAAAAAAGGGATTCTTTTCTAAAATAAACACACACACACACACACGAAAACCCACCACGCAGAGCACAGATTAACCTTCAGCGTGTTTGAATTTCAGCCAGGAACAACAGAAGGACCGAGCAGAAGCTATATGATAACAAAATGCACTCCTCCTGTGGTCGACTGAGAGAACAGCACGATCAGTGCTCACCATGGCACGGCCGTTTAAAGCGCAGAAAAAAAAAAATGTAGACAGAAAAAAATAAATTTGAATATGAATTGTATCAAATTATGAAGCAACTTCACAGGAACTAATAACACAAATAGAATATTAAACGTGACCTGAAAGGTACAAATATCAATAATTAGTTGCCGAAGCAGGGGGAATTATGGGATGAAAATACTGGAGGAAGTGATTTTCATGTGTGTGTATGTTTGTGACAGAGAGTGTGATTAGCGTCTTACCCCGAGACAATCCATTCTCCATCAGAGGAGAAGGCACAAGACAGAACTGGGGCCGTCTGACTGGTGAGAGTCTGAAGCAGCTTCATGGTACAGGCTGGGGTTCAACACACACAAGCAAGATGAGACCAAAGTTAAATTGTGTCTGTATTCGATCTCAGCAGTTGACTGAAGTCCAGAAAAAGAAGTAGAGGTAGATGACTTTTTCACCCCCCTTGTAGCTGTGTCCCCTGCTGACAACTACTTGGAAACAAATGATTTTTATTTTTGCCAATAAACTCACATCGACTGTGCATTAATTCTTCATGTCAAAACCAACTGATCTGCAGCAGCATTTATATAATCATCCTGCAAATACACATGTATTAAGTCAAACCTTCCTCCCTTTTTCTCTTCAGCAATAAAACAAACACACCATTTTCTCTGGGAGGTTAATGTGTTATTTCCAGGCATATTCCTGATTGATGTGAAACACCACAGTGGAGTAGAAAACCGTAACGCCTGATTAAACCCGACAATTTAACTATACGAGTGAGACCAAAATAAACTAAACAAATGTGATGTGTGGATTGGAGATGTCAGCAAGTGTTGATAGGTGACTTGAAGGAAATGCTTCAGATCTGACAGCATTAAAGGCTTGACCCATGGAGCTAATATGCAAAGCTGGAATGAGAGATTTTTCCGTGAACATATGGTGCTTGTACACACTTACACACATAAAAAAGAAGCGACTAGAAAAAATGTCCCATTTCGACAGCAATCTCAGCTTTGAAATGCGCCCCTCGCTTCCCTAAATCACGTACACTTGAGTCTCTTTTTCATAAAATAGTGGAAGAGAGGTTCGAGCGCACAGTCCTCATGCCAAGACAAGATAAGTGCACATTTCAAAAAAGGCAGAGCTCAACCTCCTTCACATCTGAGGACAAAAATTTTTTTAAAAAAATCTAAAGCATAATGAAATGAGGATAGACATTGTCTGGTGTCCCTCGGCGATAAAGGGAAAAAAAAAATCTCCACGGACTTGGGTCACCACGTGGGACACATCAAATCCTCCCAAGAAATGGCTGTTACCATAGCAACACATATTGGAACCTAACAACATGGTGTGTTCACATACATAACAAAAAATACAGTCTGTAGCCAGGGTACGTACGTGTGAACATACACAAATGTTCCTCTTCTGCTGCTGCTTGTACAAGATGTAAATGTCATCATGGATACATGCACCTGATTTCCTTCCAACTCTTTCACACACACACACACACGCACACACACACAGTCCTCTGCTGCTGCTGCTGTATTTCAGCAGAATGTCTTAAAGTGATCCATTATTAATGAGTCAGTCTGCAGCTGATTTACTCCACACACTAATAAAATTCTTCTATTCTGCAGAGAGGTTTCAAGGTTGAAGCAGTCAGCACACTCTCCCTCCCTCTCTCCCTCCCCGTCTCTCCCGCTCGGCAATCGAGTGAGGGAGCACTCAGGTGGGGAAGCTGGGGCAGAGGGGTCGGCCCACCTGCTCCTTCACGCTGGGAAACAATCCATATTTTCAGCTGGCTGTCCTGACCGCAGGAGGCCAGTCGAAACTCCACACAGCAGCCATCTGCAGAGCCAAAGAAGCCACATCCCCTTTTTGTTAAGATTCATGCTTGAATGCGTCTGAAAGCAGAGGGCGGCAAATATTATCTGACGGCCTGCTTTTTAGGTGCAACCCAATCATTACAGCACATACAGCAGTAACACTAACATAACGAGTGTCTTTATTGGAGCCAGGTACTTTGCTTCTAGGATTACTTGCAAGTTGCTTTTAAACTGAAAATTGTCCAAGATGAACCCAATGCAAAAGGAACTGAGGAAGGCGAGAGAAAGCAATGAAATTGCAAAAGAGTTTTGATGAGGGAAAAAGCCCCACAGAAAATGAGGTGAGTAACTGAGATGGTCAACTTTTATTTTGAATAGGAATCTGTAGTTCTAAAGATTATTTGACTCAATTTACCAGCACCGTTTAGATGAAAAATGTGAGAAGATAGATAGAAATCCCATTTACCCTGACGTAAAACCAATAAACGCAGCTGATGTCTCATATTTTATTTTCAGATGAATTTCTACAACAGTAGTAACAAATGAAGAGAACTTACTAACGATGAACTGGGGTGCAAAGCAGCAACAGGTGACTCCCAGGTCGTGGGCGTCCTTCTCAGCGTGCAGAAGGCTGGCGTGAGCATCCCAGAGTTTGAGGTCTCCACGGGTACAGCCGGTCGCAAACATCTGGGCACACGGAGAGAAGCAGCAAGCCACGACGCTGGCCTCGCTTACGGTGGCACATCTGCGAGGGGGGGGGAGGGGGATGTTGGCACCAACTTGAGTGTGACTCGTTTTAGACTTCGAGGTTTATCAGGAAGTGTGTAAAATTCGAAGGAGGGAAATTTAATTTGTTTAGGCTGTGGAGTCCCGCACTGAGTTTAATTATTTAAACCACCTGTGGGTATTAATCAGAGACACACAGCAGGCCTAGGGGTGCTCAGAAAAGCTGTTCCAGAGCACAAAAGTGAAAAATCAGAGGATTAAAAGACAAAATAATCCTGATAAAATGCTTTTTTAATTGGCTTATTTAATCAGAATTACTGAGTTGGCTGCTTCTGTGTTTGTCTAGCTGGTTCCTCTGTGATTTTGTTCCATCTGTCTGTGATGACAGAGCTGTAACTTGAAGACGAGCCTGCAATAACTTTTACGACAATTACTCCAGTCTGTTGAAGATTAACAAAGCAAGGTTCGAAACTTTATAAGAGCTCAGTTACTTAAAGATCCTGTAGAAAGATGTTTTATGTATTAAGAGATCATTTCCTTTATGTCAAGATCATTTCTTTAGTCTATTTTCTATTCCCTTCTCACCGTTTTGATTTGTGTGTCTAATAGAAAATTCAAGTTACATTTTGTGCAACATGAAGAGAATCTGAAGAGAATCTGAAGAGAATCTGAAGAGAATCTGAAGAGACACTGATGTGTGCGATGACTCCATCTGCTGATAATGGCTGAGAGATGTTTCTAAAGGTGGAAAGCGTGATTCAGACTTTCCCAGTTCAATTATTAACCTCCAGTCTCAACTTGTACAACTGTTATGTCAAGACAGCACAGAGAGGGGTTAAGAAAGCACTCCATGTTCAGATAGCTGACATTTATCAGTAAGCAAATTTTTTATTGACTCCGTTATTGGTTTTGAACAAAATACTGAAAATCTTTTTTCACGTGTGAAGATGTAGTTTGTTTTTTGTTCAAGTCACGTGGACAAAAAACTATTTGGAAACACGGAGAAAAATGACCTCGGATTGGATAAGAGTCTGACTACTTAGCTCTTATTTTAATATTAACTAAGGCTCATTTTGACATTCATATTTGGAGAAGATTACATTAACTATACTAAAATTGTCACCGTGACC